GCACTTTAGCGAAAATGGAAATAGTTAACTTGAGATCCTACTTCATTTTGAAGGGAAATTGGTAGTTAAGTTAAATCAGTGCTTCATCTCTTAACAGGGTCAACCTCTAGAGGCTGCACCAGCAATACAACAATTTGCTGGAGAATGAATATAGAGCAATTTCAAGTTTATCAAATCGCACACTGTTACATGCAATAGACAACCATTCTACAGAGATTTCAAATGAGAAACTATCAATGCCATGAGTAGCATTATAATGGGGCAGTGAGTGATAACTCTCTATGTCTTTCATTAGAAAGTTGAACTGTTTCGTGATTATGTAAACATACAAGATGTACAGACAAACGATAAACCAACAGACAGATACATAAACATCCAAAAACGGTCAGATGAGTAGATTCTGTGGGTGAGCCAAACAAGTTGTTGAAGACTTCATACCAGCAAATACAATTACAGGCCAACGAGCAACCACGTTGCAAAGTTTTCCTTGTATTCAAGAAATTAGTAGCAGTTCTTTTTTCTGAGGTTTGATCCAGTCGAGACCCTCACTCTTCTTCAATTCTACCTGTATAAATATATATTTTTTCCGAGTGCGCTGAAATTTCACCTTTTTGCCTACTGGTTATTTTGTTTATTTGATATGATAGAAGAGCAGCCACACAGTGAGGTTTACATCATGTTGTAGTCTTCTTTTTTTCGAAAATCACATGTGGCACAAATCTGGAAGAAAACTAGAAAGCGATAATTTGATCTTGCATAGTGCTAGTAACAACTTTCGTCTCTTCAGGTTTACATGTGATCAAGGTTATGTTGGTTGCAATGGCAATAATATTCGCTCTACTTGCAACTGTAACAAGAGCTGTTTGCTTATTTTACCCTTTTCTTTTTGTCATAGTGAGCTTAACGCATTTTAAAAAATAGGAACAGTGTGGCTAATAGTTTTATTTCAGGTGTTCGAATTTACGAAATCCTTGGCTATCTTCCTCTTACTGGCTCTTAAACTCGCATCTCCTGAGAAATACCTTAAATTAATTAACGTTAAAGGTTTTTTCTCCATTATGCCCAAGAACGTAATAAAATCATTTTTTTAGGACTAAGCCATCTACAGATGCTCACAAAAAGTACACGCTCTGAAGACGAAATTTGTTACGTTTGGAACGGATTTTGTGTCATTTATTTTGTACTAGTATCACTCACTCTCATCCGTAACATCGCCGAATTTCAGTGGAGAGAGGTCCCTCCGCTTCTGCTTCTCTTTATTACAGCGATAAACCTCTTTTCTCAGAAAATTCTTTTCAGCGTTTACGGAGACACGAAAACGTTTATCCTCCCCTTTTAACTCCTGTTCCGAGAAGACGAATAATGCCCAGAGAAGTAGAAGTAGTAGATGTCAACTCCGATGACCCTCCCCCATATTCGGTAATTGTTTGGAATAGCTAAATTTTTAAATTCTACGCCTTAAAGTTAGTTAAGGCAACGATCCAGTTAGAAACTGCCAAAGAAGAAACCGCTCCCCCGCGATACTCCCAGTTGGGCTACTCCCAAGCAGAACTTACTCCTGACCGCACCAAAAGGTTCCTAAGGCTGCTGTTAGGCTTAATGACGTTGCATTTAATTTAGCTCAAGAACATCAACAAGTGGACATACTCGAGTGGTATCATCGGATGTTCACGAGTCAAGCAAGTCAATATCCTCAACCGTCAACGATCCAGCGCAAAGCTCGAGTAGTGCAAAATAGAGATCAGAGCTGGCACCAAAATAAATTTTAAACACAATTTTGAATCAAACAGATCTATGATACCTCAATAATGTCCGGATAAAAGAAAAATTAGTAAGAGAAGTTCTCAGCATTTTGTTCTAATGTCATTTCATATTTTTTGGCGTTTCTTGATAGGTAAGCCATAGAGTCTGCAAAATTCGCTACGCAGTGTTCACTTAAAAGCTTAGGTTGATGGATTCCCAAAAATAGGAATAATTTTTGTGACACTTTTTGAAGAGCATTTTTTATTAGTTGTTGCTGGGATATTTGAA